AATTACATAAAGAAGTAAATGGGGGGAAGAGACCAGAATATACAAGTATTCTTGTGTCAATTGACTAGGGTCCAAGTAATAGTTATTTCAGAAAGGGCAACTTTCCTTATTCTTTCTTTAGGTGCTAACCATAAGCTACACTCACATATGTTGTGTGCTTCCCTTACATTTCAGAACAGCCTAAAAACCACTTGTAGGTCCTTCTTAGAACTCTTTTTTGAAAATCCTTGGATTTATCAAGGCTTACTTTAAGCCAAGATACAATAATTCCGTAAGAGCACTTGTTAATAGCTGATTGGTATTAGCAGTTGCAGAGAGAAATTCCTAGTCCATCACTCCTTGATTATGATTCTGACATATGATTTTCAGGTGGCATTTCCTTAGTGATATCGTACATTGCTTGTTGCAATTTAGTTCGATGTACATGACACTATTTTTCTTTTAGAAAATTAACTAGCATTCTTATGTTTTATCGTATAGTCTTAATTATTATGTGTTTTAAAATAAGGTAATGAATATCTCTTTCCCCTCCCTATTTTCAACAGATTTGTGTTTTATGAACTTTTTCTTTGGGGAAATATCCTGCATGGGTAAAAAAAAATATTTTTTCTATAAAAGAAACACTTATTCAAACCCAAACTGGAACTCAGTATTTTGTACATGCCTCATTTTCACAAGTATTCTAAAACTGTGTTTTATATTTGTGAGAAACCGAAGCATAACCTTTTTGGTGTTGAATGAAAAGACATTAGATTCGTTACCTGAAAATGACTCCCTAAAGAGCCAGAGGTTATATAATGATAACCCAGCAAGTCGTAAAAGTGAGATCTTTTTCTTGGAAAAGAAACAAACTAAATCTACCCCACAAAATATATTGAGAGGTCACTAAAAGCCCTTCCGGTCTCCAGGGGTAGCACCTTAAGAGTCATTCGCTGAACTCCATGTATAAGTGAGGAATTAAGACGAGCTTTCCCAATACTGCCTTTTCCCACTACTGCTTTATATTTAGAGATGGCAGAGGCAATATTTTAACAAGATTTAGAAAAAAATTTTAATTTAAATCCCGTCATTCCACAATATCAGAGCTGTTTTCATTGTTCATCTTCTCGTTTGTTCTTTGCGCATTCGAGTTCCCGTAACCTCAACATTCTATGATCTTGTTTATGCGATGTTTATTCTCACTTTACGTAAACTCTTAAAGATAACTATTATGTCGTGCCCTCTCCCACTGGAACGCATCAAGAGGACAGAGGAACAGCTGACCCGCAGAAAAACCTTGATTTAGCAAGGACAAGTAGCCCGCGAGCGGGCGAGAGGGTGGCGAACAGGGACCTCGGCCCCACTC